ATCAGAAAACTGTCCGTAAGTTTCGAAGGAAAAGCCGTCGGCCGAAATCCTTTTAGGCTTTTTACCTACTCGAGGTCCCCTATCGAATGATGTATGAATGAACGAAATCGGAGCGGGGCACCTGGGGTGTTCCCTCGTGAGTGTCTAAAAACTGATAAGCTGTTGTAAAACTAAACTAAATTGAAATTGCATCAAGTCGTGTTTCACATTTCATACATAAAATTCATCCTTTTTAAGATTTTTCTAGAAACAGTAGAATTGTTTTTGGAAAAGGTAGTTTGACAGAGCTTCGAAAATGGAAAAAACGTGAAAGTTTTTCTATGAACAGATCTATGAAGCAGGTTCATCAGAAAATACCAAAATAGTTTTTTCAAAAGCCGCTCTAGAACCCGATGTTGGTATTTTTTTGACTCTCGACTTCCAGGTGAAGTGGAATGGAATGATTTGTAATAAAAATGTCAAATTTAAGCTTTAAGAAGATTTTATGAGTAATTGTTAGATGCTTTTTTGGATTAGGGTCATTTCAAGTAGTTTCCATAGAAAAAAATGGCTTTTCCTTTTAATAATATTACTAAAGTAAAACATCTCCAAAAAAATCCGCAGTGCCTGCTGTATCAACAGAAATGCTAAACAAAGAGATCCGATTAAAAATTAGAAATAGCATAGGAGAGAAACGCTTAAGTCTCTCATAAAACATTCCTATTATTAACTTTCCCAGTAGATTTACCTAAGCCTTCCGTATCTTAATTAAGTTCTTAACTGAAACGTGGTTAGAGCTGAGAGATGTCTTATTTCGATCAGAAGCGTTTGCTGTAAACTTCAATTACTTCAGAACTATGTTTCCTCTCAGCTTTGTATGAATGAAACACAGTAGTTGAAAGGTCAGTTTTTCAAGTCTCCAAGCTTGAGAAACCTTTGATGAAGGTCTGACTGTCATGAATTTTGTTTTTACTCAATGTGTCTATTGTTTTCATACGACCTCAGACATAATACGAGCTTTTCGATTATCTTCGCTCTTGAAATCTTGTGTATAACGTCACGTTCCAGCATCACGGCATGTCTCCAGATGAATACCTCAACATTTAGCGGATTGTACACTTTGGTGACTGGCCACTGGGTGCAATGCATCGTTTTTTAAAAGTTTACGCTGTAAACCATGATTCTAAACATATCTCAACGTTACAATTTTAATTTTTCTTCTTTCTCATACCAGAACCCAACTTTCTTTCTCTACCACATATCTGCCGCTCAGTACATGCAATATTATTACTCCACTCACTCTCCACCCACGAATATTCGCCATATAAGATTATCTGATTGTCTGCTTCTCTGCTTCATAAGGAAGACATACCATACTTACAGAATATTCAAATCTGACTATTCGAGATATAAGATTATCTGATGGTCTGATTCTCTGCTCCGCAAGAGACACACACCATACATAGTAAATATTCTTATATCAGTATGAAAAACATTGGAACACTGGAAGAAATCTAAACATGTAACCTATTTAGATTTGACATCAACTGGCTAAAAAGAGGATTGTTAAATCGAATTTGTCAGAATCCTCTATTTTTTCTGATTTTTGCCTAAATTAGTCCTTTTTCTGAAATAGAAATCCTTTCTCATTTCTTTTTTTTCAAAAAATTATAATCGGAGACCTATCATGATTAACTATCTGTTAACGTGTCCCAATTTTTAGTCTTTCTTAGTTGAGATAGCGGAGGTATAATTTTGTTCCACGTACGTCAAAAGTGGTTTTTAAAAAGATATTTTTTCAAAATTAATGTACATAAATGAGATTATTCTTAACATAATATTTAGAAAAAATAAACCAGAGAGATCATCATTATTTTTAATTCTCATCATGACTTTCTTTAATATCATCCATTCTCTCTTCAATTGCATTTAATCCTGTTTCAATCCAATCTTTAAATGTTCCAATTTTTGACCATTCTGGAATATTTTGCACAGCCAAATATAACTGACCGGTTTTTAAACCAAGTAAAATTTCTTCACAATAATCATCCATACCATTACCGATTACCAAAATTTCACATGGTAAGGAGAGAAATTTAGTTTCTTTTACACTCTTGCCATTTCTACGATAAAGTTCTAAAAATCAAACATTATTGTAATCGATATCCGTTCTTCATTCAATGTTTTCATCTCACTCACTTAAATGCTGTTCAGCATCTTCTTTTAGCAATTGAGCGTCACAACATTCTTCATTCAAACATTTAAAAAACATATCGACCCATTCTTGTTTTTCATATGGTTTCCATTCTTCTAACGGTAACAAATCTGTTGTAGCCAAACGATAAGGTAGACCAAAAGATATTTTTTCACGACCGTTATGAACACGTAGAAATTGTTTTATATCATCGGGTAATTTTACATGAACACGTTGTTCAAACATCTCAATTTCATGATCACTGCAGCCAGACACCGACAAATTTTGAAACTTTTTAACATTAGATAAACCGTCATTTAGACGTTGCCATAACTGCTGATGTTCATTAGACGAAGTCATTCTTTTAGCTAAAAAGAAGTGAAATTGACTGGAATTAGAACTGTGCTGATCTTAACTAACAGAAGATAACAATAAGATATTCTATATGTATTCGCTCGCAACAACATCCTTAACTTCGTGTTAAGGATCGGAACCTAATCAGTCCGCTGCACTAACAACAAGAAAAGCTCTTACCGAACAAATTATGACAGAATATAATAAAATTTGTAGTAATCACCCTAATTGCGAAATCTTGATTAAGATGTCACGTAAATTAAAAGGTATAGCAAGTGAACCATTTCGCTATTGGAACTTCTTGGATTTTTTTAGTAAGGTCTTACTTAGGTCATACCAAAAGTACTGGCATTTGCAGATAAGAATAGAGAATAGAGTTAATCAAGGTTTTACTTCAACAAGTATTTGAGCTAGTAGTCATGAATACGTACGCACAATCAATTTATTTCACGGCATTTGTTGGGAATTTTTTTCAAATCATCTGTGATTAAAAAGTTCATCAGGTTGATTACGGCACTAAATGCCATGATTACAAACTATTTTGATCGGTTAAATTTTGTTGGACATAGCCGACTAAGGAAATATGGCGAATACAGGAAGCGGTAGTAGATGACAAGCACTAGATTTGTGACACATAAATTCCTTGAAACAGAAGGAATATAAGCGAAGAATTTGCACCTGCTATAGTGTGACACAGCAAATTAGGTTTAAAACGTTGTTTCACGACTTTTCTTCAAACAACTAGTCGAATAATCTTAGAAAATAGACAGATACACAAACAGCAGGCTGTTAATTATCAATATTATATCAATAATTTCCTAAAACTACTTGTCAACGAAACGAGATTATCACATAGTATTCATAACATCAAAGTTTATAATGGCAACGTCCGACAATATACTATGCGTATATTGTCGGACGAACTAAACTAATATATAACGATGGAAATAGGTCATCTCTAATTAGTGTAGATTTAGTTCGCGAAGTTGGTGCGAAATAAGTTTACAGTGAGTACTCTTCTCCATGAACATATAAAAGATGAATATGTGATGGAAACATAAAGTTTGTTACTTTCTGATTTTATTCTTTAAACAGAAAAACATCTGCTCTTATAAAGATATCTGTTGAAAAAACGAACATATTCGAAGTATATATATGTCAATGTATATATCCACAATAAAATCAAAGGAACCGAAATTATACAAAATAAACTAAATTAGAATTGAAATTTTAATATTCAGAACATTTTATTTGTGCCAAAAGGTTCACAAAGACAAATACACACAAAAAAAACAACAACAACAACTAATAATTATAGATATACAGAAATAAAACAGAAATGTGAGAAAGTATGTGT